CTAATATCTTTGAAAATATTTTTTGTAAGAGAATGCCTTTTCAAATAGTTCTAGATATTTACTAGCTATTCCTTACATGTATTTATATGTATTGTTCTCTACATCCTTTCTTGTCCTATCAATGTGACTAAAATGAATTTTCCAAATGAAATTTTATAAAATTTTCCTACAGTGAAGTTGACTCTCTTCGATGTAGAGTTTTATGAGTTTTAACATGTATAGGAACTCACTGAACCAACACCAAGTCAGGGTGCAGAATAGTCTTATTATTCCAGAAAATTCCCTCCTGCTACCTGGATCATGAGCCCTTGGCCATTGTAATTTCTTTCAGCCACTGATTTGTTCTCTGTCCCTGAAATCTGTCATTGCCAGTGCTTTACTCTGTAGAGGCTGGTGTCTTGCACTCAGCACTGTGCCTTTAAGTTTTAGCCACGTGGTCGCATGCTCACCCCCTTTTATTTATTTATTTATTTATTCATTTTTCATTCTTTTAATATTTACATATATATATTACATTATTGTTCATTTCTGTACAATGTATGCTTTCTCCTCTCAGGAGTAGACCCCATAAAATTCCCACCACCCATTCACCCATGTACCGTCACCACAGTCCCTTGTATCTTCCTGCCCCATCTTGATCCCTCCCTCTCCCCTGTAGAATGTCTCTGATTTATAGTTGCCTGCTATTTTTTTTTATTTATTATTCATGTTACTTTTTTTTCCTGATCCCTTATTTGATTCCCCTACATTCCTCTTATAAGTGCAACTATCTGTTATTTTTCTTTTTCTTTCTAGCTTTCGCTGAGCATAATCCCTTCCAGCTCCATCCATGTTGCTGCGAATGGCATGAGTTTATCTTTTTTGGTTGCTGAATTGTGTATATAGACCACATCTTCTTGATGCAGTCATCTATTTTTGGGCATTTGGGGGTTGTTTCCATTTCTTACCTATTGTAAATAGTGCTGCAATATATATCGGGGCTTACCCCTTTTTATTGCTGAGTAGTACTCCCTCGTGTGGGTGTACCACAGGTGTCCATCCATTTACCCTTTGAAGGACATTTAGGTTGTTTCCAGATTGGTGCAGTTATAAATAAAGCTGCTATAATGTTTTTTGGGTGAACATAAGTTTTTATTTCTTTAGCTAAGTTTCTAGAAATGGAACAACTGTGTCATATGTTAAGAGTGTGTGTATAACTATGAGAAACTGCCAGACTATTTACCAGAATTGTAGCATTTTGCATACCCACAGCAATGTATAAACTTTATTTTTAAATAAATTTTTTTGAAACTTATTTTAAATACGTGAATGCTATTTTAAGTGCTCTTGGGTTGAGTTTGGCAAATGGAATAAGTTTCACGGTGCCGTGGGGCTTTGAAGAGATGCCCAGAGACAAAGGGTGCGCCTCCGTCAGCCCCATCCCAGCAGGAGGGAGACGGTGCAGTTTATTAGTGTGTATATATTTCCCTTGAAGAAGACAGGTGGGGAGAAAGAAGTTTTACCTGTGAAGTCCTGGACACCATGGCAGCTGGGCAGTGCATTGTGAGCTGGGGAGCTTCACCACAGTGTTCTCGGGGATGCTTGGGGTGCTGTGCACTCAGTGACGACTATCCTGAGAAAGTGATTCCTTAAGGCTTCAGCTCTCTTTCAGTCCATGTGATTATGTTAAGGAGGTTATTACCAAATGGAAAGTGGGTCCATTTAAAGAAAAATATTAAATATGATGTAGCCTATATCCCAATGTGGCAAGCGTTAGGATCACGTGCCAGAATGATGGAAGTTGGGAAACTCTGAACTGGAGAGTCTGGTTACTTAAAGAGACCTTCTAGTGAATCCTTCTGTGAAGTGAGGACTGCCTGGTGAAGCTAGCAACAGCCCTCTCATAGTTTATTTTATGAGATTATAAGTTTATATAATGGTGTCCAACTTAGGGGTCCACCTAATTTTAAGTTTATTTTTAAATATGCGAATGCTATTTTAAATACCCTGGGTTGAGGTTGCAAATTAAGTAAGTTTGATTAGGTGTCCAACTGGGCATATGGCCTAGTGCAGTGGACGCAACATGAATGTACAGGCAGAGATTAGTGTCCTTTTCTTGGTTAGTGCTAGTCAGGTTATCTTGCATCCTCCACAGCGGAGATACGGTTTCCTGCCTTTTATGTTTACATTAGAGTTTTTGATCGGAAGCAACAGAAGCCCATCCTGGTAAATTTCAACCAAGTAGGGCTTTATTGCAAGGATCTTAGATAACTCAGAGTATCAAAGGGAAGAGAATGACATGGACTCAGAAAGCTCAGTAAACTCTCAGGAATACTCTGAGGACCAGAGTGAGAACTAAGGAAGTTGACAGGTTGCCTCCAGTTTTTTTTCTCTTTCTTTGTTATTCTTCTTCAGAGACTAAGGTTCTGAAAGACAGAACCTTGTTGACCTGACCCGCCTCTTTGATGGATGGAGCGGGATACTTTGGTTGACAGTCCCTCTACGACAACGACAGATAATAAAAAGACTTCCCCAAGGAGGGATCTGGGTGCTGTTATAGAAAACAGGGGACTGGTTATGCGTGGAAGGCAACCAGAACGACATAATCACTCTAACTCTCCTCAAGATGGTTAAGAAGATACCAAGTGCATACTGTCAAATGCCCTGGAGGATTTCAGGATACACTAGAACCGTGTGTCGTGAACGTGTTAAGTAAATGAATGTGATGGCATCCATTAGATAAGGAATATATTGAGTGAGTAGGACATAGAGGGTGACAATTTCATTTCCTCTTATTTTAAATAAAATTTGGCTGATAAGCCGTCACTTAGGCATGGAATTCCAGGGGTGCAGCTTCACCCCGACACCTGCATGTCCCTTGTCTCCACCAGAGCTGCAGTGCCACTGACCACTCGTCTCCTCTGCCCCTCCTTCCCCTGCCCCTCGGGGAACCACCGTATTTTTCACAGTCTCAGAATTATTAGTGTGTTTTGCCAATTTGTTTTCTCTGGTTATTTATATTCCACAAGCGAGGGAGACCATCCAGTAATTGTCTCTCACTTTCTGGTTTACTTCACTTAGCAAAATTATCTCAAGTTCCATCCATATTGTTGCAAAGGAACAATTTCATCTTTTTTTTTTTTTTTAATAGCTGAGTAGTGTTCCGCTGAGTCTGTATTCCATCATTTATTTCCTTTGATTATATATTCCCGAATTTCTCCATCTATTCTTCCATCAGTGGACGTTGAGGCTGGTTCCACATCTTGGCTGCCGTGAGCATAAGGCTGCAGAATCATTTAATTTGTGTTTTCATGTTCTTCAGAGAAATGCTCAGAAGGATAATTTCATTTGTTCTGGGTTCCCCCCCACCCCGAGGGCCTGCAGGCTTTTACTTCTAGCACAGGGCGGCGGTGGTGGGTCCACTCTAGGGTGACCTCTGAACGCCCTTCCCCTGTCCAGTCCTCTTGTCCCTGTCTCATCCCTTCTTCCCCGACGCAGTGGCCACTTGTGCTGAGACTCCTCGTGCTTCCCTTAGGGTACTTGCAGCCCCCCCCAGACCTGCTGCTCGTGCTGTAGGCTGGTGAGTGGGGGGGCTTACACTGGAGCTGCTGGGTGAGCAGTGGGCACAGTAGACCCGTTGCTGAACGCCAGTGCCACGTCCTTGATGGGTGCTCTGCGACTGCCGTAACATGCCCCTCATGCCCGGGAAGCCATAGTTGGGTGGAGGGTGGGCATCTACAGGGGTCAGACCTCCAGGTCCATTGCCCAGGTCACGCTGGGCCAGGCACGCCCCCATTCAGTTGGCCCCATCTCTGCAGCAGCCTGCAGCCCCTCACCCCTCGCGGGAGCACTCCCGTGTGTCAGTCCCAGCTCCATTTCTGTTAGCAATGGCTTTGGTTATGAACTCTGCAAAGAAGCCTCGCTCACTCCAATTGGAAAACGTCTATGAATTCCAAAGGTTTCTAGGCCAGTTACACAAAGATGAATACACGTGATGGAAAGTTCTATGATGAAAACCAAGAAGGCATTTATTTGCTAACTCAAGTTTCAAGTTCCCATAGAATACTGTTCCTGTTTTTCTTAATTATTTTTCTAGTGCTACCTAAATTTCCATGTTTAAAATACACGCATATAAAAAGAGCATCCAGTGGTGAGTTCGTAATAAAGCCGGAAACAGTCATTCCAGTCTGAGAGTTGAGGTCGTGTGGCTTTTGGGGATGAGCAGGGGTGACTGCTTGTGCTTCAGCCACTTCTGAGAGCTGGAGAGAGGCGGGTGGGGCTCGGTGCTCACCTGCGAGCCTCATTTCTCTTAAGCACCATCGTCACAGCCATACAATAGGTCATTCTCCCCCAAATCACAGTGTACTGTCCACAAGAACCCCTGAAACTTACTCGAATTATATAGTGGATTTTTGAAGCTGGGAAGATTTTCCTTGAGATCAAACACTCAATTTTGATGTTTGTGCTCTCTGCCATTCTGGCGGTGTGGATCTTGATTTGCACCCAGCAGGCAACGCAAACCTAGAGGAAAGAGAAAAAGGAAGAAAAACTGCTGCATGGCTGGAAATAAAAATTAATGATTCAAATAAGAGAGGCCGTGCGAAAGCCTCAGCTGGGTGGCAGGAAGCGGGGAGAGGGGAAGTCAGACTGCGCTTTTTAAAAAGGCAAAACAAACAACTCACAGTGAAGTGGACGTGAAAATCATTTCTAATAATAGCTCGTGCTAGGCAATTCCCAGGAAAAAAATCGTTGGTGTGCTGAGAAAATGAGAGTGAGGACGCACGGCATCTTGATGTGTTACTTAAGGCAATGGAGCTTTGGAGTTTACCTTCTGTGCCATGTACATTGATTAAATACAAAATATATGCTGGCCATTTTTGACCATCATTTACTGTATTGATTTGTTAGCAGTGGAACTGTAATAAAAAAGCCATTGATTTACTGTCCTTATTTGCTTATGGGCTTTTTTTATTATTAATTTTTCCCTGTTTCTTTCTCTTTCCTTGCATCATTTCTTCTAGACAAATGCTGTGCTTTGCGAAGTTCGACGAGAGGGTCTCCCAGAGGAACAAAGGAGGGAGATCCTGTCTGCCATCCTCGCCCCGCTCACCACGCGCCAGAACCAGAGGAGGGAGTGGCGTGCCAGGTCAGTCCTGTTAGGCAGTAGGCCTCGTTGTCCCTGGAGAACAAGAGCTGTACTGGGTAAAGCCCTTGCTGGTGGTCGGTCCCATCCCACTCACTGGAGGGGCCACGAGAAATAAGCAAGTCACAGATACTGCCAGCCCTAGGGTGCTTTCCTGCACGGGGACCGACATTCATTGTAATTATTCATATGTCATTTCCGTGCATGTGATTTATCCCCACGAACAGCATTTAGCATCCATGTCTGCATCTCGCGCAGGATGTGATATAAGTCCCTGGGTTGGAGAACCCCCTTAATCAACCATCGGAAAGACTAACACTGCCACTTAGTTAGGTCCGAGAAACCCACACAGTGCTCCTCGATCACACCATGAGAGGTGAGTGCTGGGAAGTGGTCTCCTTTCGCACCCCATTTTTAGAATTGGCTAAGTAAGGAAGTACTTTGGCTTCAGCTAGTTCCTATGCACACGAACTTACCTGGGGTTAGAGAGCCGTGACGAGTAGGAAGTGTCTACACATCTCAGCGTTCACAGGTTTGATGGTTGCGTACTGGCCAGCGTGGTATCCTGCTCTTCTTGAAAGAATATTTGATGGGTGAAGGTCGGGAAGTAATTCCCTCAAATGTTAAGGTTATCTACTAGGCCTGTAGTTGGTCAAAATGGTTGAATTATCATCTGTCTCTAAGCAAGTGGGAGAGGAATCAAGATTATGACACTGTATTTTGTCTCAGAGTCTTATTTGATGCTAAAAACTCTATGTGCCTGGAAGTCAAGAGCAGTTATTGATAGCCATGATATTCTCCAAGTGATTTCTCCCAGTGAATCTACAGAAATTGATGCCTTTACTAGTAGCAATTATCCTGAAAGTAGATTTGTCTGTACAAGGCCAAAGAAAGGACAGTTAAGAGTTTGAAGTCTCCATTCCGAGCGGGTCGGGGAAAGCAGCTTTTCCAAGATTGCGTATTATTTCTCTAAATTCAGGCTTACATCGAAACAATCATTTTTAAATTCCCCGTGATATTCCCTCTCGCTCCACCTTTGAAACAGTGTGGTCGGAGTAAATGACAGACACTCTCAACTATGGGAATGAAATGATTTAATTTAAATTTCAATAATTAATTTAAAAAGTTTTCTTCGTATTGCATTTTAAGTATGTACATTCATTAAAGTGTGCCTACTTTATGCCATCATGGAGCATCAGTGTGGGGGCACCAAGAGATTTCTTTCTCTCTGTTTGACCTCTTATAGCTCTTCCCCCAGTGATTCTTATTAAATAAGAGAGGGAGAAAGAATTCCCCTGTTGTCTCTTTCCACCCGCCCTCCCCCCTGCAAGACAGCAGAGCTTGGGGAGCCGGTGTTGAGGGCAGATGCCTGCTGCTGAGTGCATGTGGGGTGTTACCAGTCATTTCCCCACACACCCAGTCATCAGCCGACATGGCCAAAATGGCCTGTTTCAAAGGAGTCTGGGCTCAGCCGTCCTGGCCCTGGCTGCTAACAGTTTAATCAGGAGCTGGAGCCAGCGTTGAAGTTGATGTAGTCTAGCATCTAAAACAAAACTCCGCAAGCCCTTTGTGGTAGAGGAGGAGAGAAGAAAGAGCTTAGCAGCTGACACTGTGCAGGCCTCCTTAAAACTAAACACCTGAAAGAAAATTTCGCGAGGGGGGTGTCTGGCGCGAGCTTGGCGTCCTCAGAGTATTAAGTGACCATAATCCTTCCTCGGCCCCCTCGGCCCCCCCTTGGCATGTCCCATCCCGGTGACCTGTGTGAAAGGCTCTTCCACAGGATCCGGATAAACAGACTGTTACCATACACCTTTCTCTTCCTCATCAAAGCTTCCCCTGGCCGGCTGGCGGCGGCGCTGCCTCGAGTGGCCATCAGGAGCGTGGTGGTGAAAGCCATAAAGCAACCACCGAGCTCCTGCTCATTGAGATGGGCCTGCTGTGCCCCCGGGAACGGCGCGAGGAGAAATGTGCTTTGACAGAAAATAATTAGCGCTTGCCAGAGGCCAAGCAATAGGTTATAGTGTTTTACTTCCATCAAAGCCATCGGGGGATCAGTTAGATTAGATAATAGAAATTTTTTCCTCGAAAGTTAAATACAGATGACTCTAATTACCTTCTATTGCGCATTAGAGGATGTGTTATGAATAGCACACCTTCTAGAAATGGAGGCTCGTGGGGGCTCCGCAGCTGGTGACTTTAGTCCGAGTCTGTTGTCATAAAGCCCCCACCCCCACCCCACGCCCTCCAGCAGGTTCGTTTGCGGGGATCCTAAAGAGACTACCGGGGAGATGTGAGGGAGAATGTTCCAGCAAGTCTTGTAACTCGGTTTTAAAATATCTGCGTCTCTCAGCCCAGGAGCCGAGCCATTGTTTGGGGTGGTGGGGGGGCTCACCAAAGTCTCTTAAACCGAAAGCATATGTTCCCTGTAACTTAGCGTTTGGAGGGAAGTGTCAATTCTGCGTGACTTGGGTAACCGAGTTTGTCACAGTGTCACACAAGTCCACGACAGCAGAGGCCCATCGAGGGCTGCGGGTTTCCTTCCCCAAGCCCGGTAATCCCATAAACAGCCCTGTCCAAATAGGCCTATTAGGGCTGTCTATTCACTTCCCGGGGCTGAATGAGCCAGAATACACCGCGAGAGGCAGTGTGAATGCGGGCTAAGTGTTAACAGAAGTGGTACAGAATTTCTGAAGATTTGGCTTTGTTTATACAGTCGCTCTGCCTGATGGACAGCTTGTTATAGCTTTTAAAGAACTGGCCAAGCCCTCCGATCTGACCCCTTCTTGACCTCTGCAGCCCAGGGGTCAGTCTGCAGCTAATAAACTCCGAGGTTCTTAGGGTCTACTGTAGGAAAAGGCAGAAAAGGAGCAGCTGCAAAAATGGGTGTCCCAGGATACGCCGCTTAGGGTCACTCTCTGATAATGAAAATGATTACCAAATTATATGGAAGTTTAACTGCAATAGTGAGCGAGAGGAGGGTGGAGCCCAGCGTATTAGGTTTGATAAATGAACTGTGAAGAGGCCCATCTGGCTCTCAACATCTTTCTCCCCCTCTCTCCCTACCAAGGGGAAACATTTTAAAATAACAGCAGTACATATAGACTCAATGACCCATGCAAGGAGCTGGAATGGATTAAGATTTAATGGTGACAGTGGAAAAAATTATCATTTCAAAAGTGCACTGAAGAAAAGGTACAGTCCAGTGTCCAGGCCCGAGTTGTTTTTCTAAATATATACAGCGAAAAATCAGCGCCTTTGTTTATTTTACACAAATCCCCAGCGTCTGTTCTAGATGGCTAAAAAATTTGAGGGTGTGTTTATTTATGGAATAATTACTCGTAGTCGGTTTAAGGAAAAGAATGGGCTTCCTTTGCCTTGACCATGTCAGACTGAGAATTAAATATTTTATTCCTGCCTGCTTCTCCGTTCAGAGAATGTAGGGAAATGGAGTGTTGAGAAGCTGCTTTTCAAAGAAGTTGTGATCCGTTTCAGCGTCTGCCCAGTGACCTCCGTGCATTTCTTGGTACTGGATATACATGTGCTTCTTGCATACTGTGTTATTTATTCTCTCTCCAATTTGGCAGTTTTTCTGTAAAAATAAGAAGAAAGCACACATAATGCTAATTGAGTGGATATGTCTGTTCCTTTATTCCTTTTTCAGAGAAACATCACAGCGATGCTAATGATTGCCAACAATGCGTAGGTCACAAGCTGTGTGTCCACTTACTGTTAATTGGTAAAAGTGATCTATTTAAAACTCTCTCCCAGTTTCCCGTGAGCAGTGACGTTGGCGTCACAAAGCTCTGAAGTCTTCCGAGACGAGCCCGTGACCCTGCTTTCTGAAATGAGAATGATTTTAGTTGTTATGCACTTTGTGTATTTGTATACCTACAAATACCTGTGAGAGATGCTGTGCATAAGACAGAAGGTGCCCAGAGTCCAGTTCAGAAATTATTCTGAGATGAGAATTTAGCAAGCTCCTCGTGGGAGCAAAAGCAAGGAGCCTGGTGGAGCCACTGCCCCCTCAACAGAGCAGCAAACTGCTCTCTGGACTCAGGAGAGTGTTTAATTGTAGATGTCTGATGACTAGAACTGCTATAATATTGAAAACCTTTATATTGAATTATATTGTCTAAAGAATGCAAACTTCACCCAAACAACAGTTATATTTAAAATGGAAATAAAAGGTTTCTAAACAGTACCCAAAGTTAGCATATTTTTCATCTGAGGTTTGGTTTGACTGTGAATGTCCGTGGAGATTTGCAGTGGGCAGAAAGCTGGGTGAAAGATGACGCAGGGAGCCCAGGGACACTCCCAATGATGCACTGTGCTTTTTAACTTTAAGCAGTGCCTTTAAAGCTTTTGCTAAGTACAGTGAAAATAGAAAAATTAAGGCAAAAGCCAGGCTGATAGAATTTTTAAAATTGAGATAATTCATAAAGCATGATGTGCATCATTTAAAAATGTGCAGTCGAGGGATTTTTTAAAGCATATTCACAAGATTATGCAGCCATCACCACGATTTCCAGAGCATTTTCATTCCCCCAATGTTAACAGCTATTTTCAATGTTGCCTTTTCCCCATGACCCCTATACTAACCTGTTTTCTGTATAGATTTGCCTATTCTGGACAGTTTATCAAAATGGAGTCACACAATAGGAGGCCTGTTGTACCTGACTTTTTTTCATTTAGCAAAATGTTTTCAAGGTTGATCTGTGTTAGAGCATAAAAGCACTTCATTCCTTTTCATGGCCAAATAATATTCTACTGTATGGGCATACCGCATTTCATTTATCCATTTATTGGTCGATGATCATATGGGTTGTTTTGCTTTTTGATAGTAGGAAAATGCTGCATGTACAAGTTTCTGAGTAGCATGTCTTCCACTTCTTTGCATACATATCTAAGAATGGAATTGCTGGGTCATATGTTTAACTTTCTGAGGAACTGCCAGACTTTTCTACATCTGCTGTACCATTTTATATTTCCCTACACAAAGCTTC